ATAACTGTAATTAATATGTTTAAGGAAATGAATAAGATGAAGAATTTTCAGCCATTAATTTGAATCTATAAAAGGAATCAAATGGAATATCTAGAACTAAAAAATACAAAAATTAAACTTAAAAACTCAACAGATGGGTTTAATAGAAGATAGCTGAAGAGAGAATTAGTGAACTGGAATATCATTCAATAGGAAATATCCAGATTGAAGCATAAATGAGAAAAGATGATGGGATATACAAAAAAGAATGTATAAGAGACATATAGGAAATGGTGACACTATCCAACATATGTGTAATTATGTTGCAGAAGGAGAGGAGGAAGAGAGTACAGATGAAGCAATATCTGAAGAAATTATGACTGAAAACCTTCCAAAAGTGATAAAAATATCTCAAGCCACAGATCCAAGAAATGATACAAACTCCCATGAAGACAAACACAAAAGAGCTTAGACTCCTCCAAACATGGTTTGTTCTGAGATCTAAAGTAGTATTTTACAAAAATGAAATATGACCCCAACTTTGAATCTCTTCACAGTGGAGCCTGTGAAGTGAGGGAAAGAAAGAAGGAGAGCAGGAAGCATGGAGCAGGGCTATAGCATGACTACTGGTGGGGGAAAATTAGGAGGGAATGATGGTAGCCTCAGAGGTTCATTGATCCCCTCAAACATTTTCTGACGGCCCATCACTCAAGATAGCACAGAAAAATGGCTAAGAGCTTAACTTCCCTTTTATTAAGGAAAAAAAAATCCATAGTAATTCCTAGCTAGAACTACTTATACTGAAGGGACAGAAAAGCCAACTCAGTTTGTTTAGACAATAATGAGATTTCATTTATGTAACTTAAAAGTCTTGCAGCAGCAAGAGCTATAGACATGGTTTGATCTAGCCATTCAAGTGTCAGATCAAGGATCTGCTCCTCTCTGGCTCTCTGCTTGCTTTACCTGGTGTTGGCATCATCTTCAGCCTCTAAATGTTGGTGTCCCAACTGCTCTGGGCACTTCTGTAATAGCAAAATAGCTCTGGCAGCTATGTTCATCATATATTCACAGCACTCTCTTTTGGGAGGTCCTGCCAAGAAGGAGAGAACTTTACTAGCTAAGAAACTGTAACAGATATCTCCTCTCATCTCAGAGACTCAGACTGAGTTTCATGTCCGTCTTTGAACCAAGACTGTGATTGGGATACCAAAATAGTCTTCAACGAATCAGAAACCAAGATTGGAGTTGGAACTAAGGATTATTCCCACCAAACCACAGCACTGGGATGAGGGAGGGGTGGCCAGCAAGATATCACTAGAAGGGCATAATGAAGGGTCACATGCATGGCCCATAAGGCCCTTTAGTTCTGCAAATATCTAACCCACTTCTCTTCTCTTTTCATCCCGTGTCAGCTAGGCTCTTCTCTGTTATTGCTTGAATGCACCAAATACTCCCTTCCTTGAGGCCTTTGCCCTTGTGATAGCTTCTTCCTGGAATGATCTTTCCCCAGACATTTGCATGGCTTTCTCCCTTGTTTCTCCACTCAGGACTGTATTTAAATGTCACTTCATAGAGGCCTTTGGTGAATTCTCTATCTAAAATAGCAACTGCAATTACTTTCTACCCCCATCATTGGCTTTAGTTGTGTTTCTAGCACTTATCACTACTTGACGTTATTTTTCATACCTACTTGTTTGCCCTCACCACTGGAATGTACACTCCATGAGAAGATTCTGCCTTGTTCATTGTTGTATCATAATAAGCATTTAACAAATGTTTATTGAGTGAGTGAATGGGTTAGAATCCCAACCTAACCCTACCTCTGTCATCTCAAGCAGATAACTGAAACTTTCATTGCTCAGTCTCCTCACCTGTCAAATGGAGATATTTCTACCTCACAGAGTTATTCTTCAGATTAAGTAAGAAAACATGTGGGAAATGTCTGACATATATAGATATTCAAGATATATATGTTTTCTTCTCACAAAAGCTTCATCCAGTAGGTCCAATGAGGCCATATTCTATCTTTCTTTCTTTCTTCCTTCCTTCCTTCCTTCCTTTCTTTCTTTCTTTCTTTCTTTCTTTCTTTCTTTCTTAGAAAGTATAGTTGATTTACAATGTTTCAGGTATACAGCAAAGTGATTCAGTTATTCATATATATATATAATGTTTTTCAGATTCCTTTACACTATAGGTTGTTACAAGACATTGAATATAGTTCCCTGTGCTATACAGTAGATCCTTGTTTATCTATTTTATATATAGTAGTGTATATCTGTTAATCCCAAATTACCAATTTATTCCTCTCTTTCCCATTGCCCCTTTCCCCTTTGGTAACCATAAGTTTGTTTTCTATGTCTGTGAGTCTATTTCTGTTTTATAAAGAAATTCATTTGTATCATTTTTTTAGATTCCACATATAAATGATATCATATTATATTTGTCTTTCTCTACCTGACTTACTTCACTTAGTATGATAATCTCTGGGTCCATCCATGTTGCTGCAAATGGCATTATTTCATTCTTTTAAGTCAGTTGTTATCTATTATGGCTTTACTTTAGTATAACCTGGGAATTTTTTAGAATTCCGAAAGGGTTCTCACCCCTAGAGATTCTGATATAATTGGTCTGTGTGACACCTAGGCACTGGTAATTTTTAAAGCTCCCCAGGTGGGAGCATTTTAGCAGCCAGTGCTGAAGACCGTTGATTTCAAGTCATTAGTTGGGGTGGGGGAGAGATGGTATGGCTGGCTGTGTAACTCAGAATCCACTGGAAGCCCTGTGAAACCTGGTCCTTCCAATACCTGGAAATCTCTAGAAGCCAGCTTGGCCTATTTCCTCCAGCACAAATCTTCAACTGGCAGTCTAGACAGATGGTTATTATTTATCCTTCCTGCTGTGTTAGAAAGAAAAAAAATCACCTCTGCCTCAGGTTTCTCAATTTTCACATGTGCAAACCATTACCTTTTAAAATATGCTTATAGGCATTAGGAGGGAGAAAGGGAAGCTTAAAAGAGACCAGGGAGATGAACATGCATCTTCTTCTAATAGAACTTTTAGAAGTTCAGACAGTAGAGAAACTGGACCAGGACAAACTCTAGGTTCTAGATCTTATACTAAAAGGGATAATGCATGTGAACAGTGCCCACAAAAATGCCTGGCACATCATAATTAATGTAAAGTCCTCTTTTCTGGAGAAACTAGATTGCTTAAGATCACATAAAATAACACAATAACAAATAATACTACCTTGTATTGGGCATCTTCCCTATGTTAAGCATTTTATTAGGTAATTTTTTTAATCTCCACAATATTATTGCAGAAAGCTATTATCATTCCCTTTTCACAACTGACAAAATTAGGATCTGAAAGCTTGCAGCTGGTAAAGGGAAGCAGCCAGATTATAGCATCAGATCTGACACCAAAGTTCATCTATAGCATCTGGCTTAGGTATAGAAGGATAAAGAGAGAAATCCTTCCTCCCATAGGGCCTGAAAAGGAATGGGAGACACAGAACTATATATTCAGTGACTGTATTTTCCAAACCTCAGATTAGGGCACATGATCATCTATTTAGTCAACCAACATTCAATGAGTATTTATTCTAATGCTGGGTGCTGGGACTTCAGAGAAGATTATGAAATCACATTGCCTTCTCCATCAAGAAACTGTAGGAGAAGATTCATAATGAGTTGTAGGTGCAATGTTAAAAGTCTAACAAAAGGCTTTTTGATCCAATATGTGAATTTATTTATATAAACATCCTTACATAGATAACACTATTAGTTAACATTTATTGAGTACTTGCTATGCTCCAAGTGTTTGCTTTACATTTTCTAGTTCATTTAATCCTCACAATAACCTATAGATGGCATTATCCCCATTTTACAGAAAGGGAAACTGAGACACAAAGAGGACAAGTCCCTTGCCCTAGGTCATGCAGCTAATAGAGAAAGGAGCCAAGACTCAAACCCAAGGCATCTGACTTCAGAGCCTCTATTCTCCACCACTGTGTTATACTGTCACCCTCTACCTTTTGTTTAAAATTCATTGATTGAACCATTTTATTGAAAACAGCAACACCCAACTCAGAAACAATATGTATTTGTTAATGGCATATTTGAATTACACATTAAATATTGAAGCTGAAGCTCCCAGAAGTCTATGCTGTGTCGTCGTCATACTGATTTATACAGTAAATGAATGTTGCCAAGTCTGATGACAGGTGCTGAGTGATGAATGAATGATGCCCACAATAAGCCTCAGAGGATTTAAACTGAAGGTCTTTATGTCTCTTTCCTGCATCCTAAGGAAATTTCTTCTATTCATGAAGGCAGCAGCCTGAGCAGCTAGCACCTGGACAGTAAAATCTCCTGGGTTAGGCATGCCATTCAAACCTCTTCCCATATAGGACTTCTGACCATTGAAAGGAACAAGGAAGGGAGAAGACAAAGGTTTTACACGATCCTTCAAGTGCAAACTTGGGTGGTAAGGGAGGCAGAAGTGCCTGCTTCTCTAAGAGGCAGAACCACAGGAAGAGGTCCCATGCCACTTCCCAAACTGTAAAAGCCCTCCTGATTCAGGACAGTTCTACAGGCTGATGTCTCTGCTTATCTGGAACTCTCTGCTCTATGCACATGCCCACAATCACCTTTGCCTGGAAACTCCTATTCATCCTTCAGGTCCCCACTTGAAGTGTCACTTCCTCCAAGAAGCCTTCTCTGATCCTTCACCACTCCTATCCCTAGCCCAAAAGGAATTTATTTTCACATATTCCTGTGTTGTGTTTATGGTCGTTTGTAATTAAATAATAACCTTGAGTGATTATTTAGCATTTACCTCCCCTTTGTGAGCTTCATCAGGGCAGGAACTAGATCTTTCTTATCCACCAGTGTATCCCCATCACCATTTACAATGCCAATCGTATAGCAGAGCCTCCACATTTTCTTTGCCTGGGTGTATATGTGTATGTGTTAAAATGAAGAGACCAAACTAAAACCATTTTTTTCTTTCTCATCCAGGAAAGAAAGGAAAGGAAACCTCTGCTACTCCAGTGCATCCTGAAGTTAATGAGATATCTCAAGGAAAACCTGAACATATGGTATGCAGCTGGGTATACAGACCTCAGCGAAGGGCTTCACCAATCCTTCGCCTTCTATTCACTGATGCTGGGTGAGGCCCTCCCTTCTGAATTTTTGATTTCCACCCAGGGCCTTGACTATCAGACTATCTTTGACTTCAAGACTCTACTCCAGCAGAGAAGGAATACAGACAAACTCCTAAAGTGTGGTTGGTTTCTCTCCTAGCTGGTATGCATGCAGAAACCACTTATCACCACTCAGTGATGGTCTTGCCATTGGCCCCTGAAAGTTGAACTTGTAGCATGTGGGCAGGTGTCCTTCCAGAGCCTGTGACCAGTCCACCAACTGCCAAAATTATGGTTGTGAGACCTATTTTAACATCTTAAGTCCAGCTTCCAGAAATTTAGGGTGACCTTTTCCCCAGACATCCCATTTTAAAATGTAATGGGCTCTTTGATTTAAAAAAAAAAAATCTGGCAAGCATTTAAAATTCATTTTAATATTCCCAGCACTTAACCAGGAGAAGATGCAGACAGAATTGAAAAACTGCCTGAGTTTCTCTGTTGTTGTTGTTTTTAAATGCCCGGATTAGAACATAATTCATCTTCAGATGACGGGAGGCCTCTTCATGCACTTCACACTTCGAAATATTTTAGAAAATAGTATCCATTTTGGCAAGCCTCTTTCCATGCAAGAAACAACAGCAAATGCTTTTCTCCTTGAGTGTTAAGTCTGCTGTGAATAAGATTATAAAAAATATATACTTTGCTCTTTTATTTTGCCTCTTGTTTGAGGATTTTACTGCCTCTCTGCAATAATCGATTCTTCTCATATTCCTGTATAAGCAGCATTCGTTGTCCCACTTTTCAGAAAGGGGACTTGAAGCAGAAGTTTGGTAAAGCAACTTTCCTATTGTTCCAGGAAAATCACTCATTTATTCATTCACTTATTCATTCCGTAAACATATCTTGAGAACCAACTATGTGACAGTCACTAACCAGAACTTGAAGATACATAGATGATTATCTCACAGGCCCAGGCTCAAGGTCTTTAGCGGATGGGAGAGATACTCTAACAGACAATTACACTATCCCATAATAAGTGCTATGATGGATAAAGGGGCTACAAAGAATTGCCCCTCACCTAGGCTGGGGCTATCAGGGAAGGCTTCCCCCAAGAAGTGAAATATGAGTTGGGCCTTGGAGGATGAGTAGGAGCCTAACGCATCAAGGCATAGGTAGCAAGAAGGAGTTTTACAACAGAGGAAACAGCGTATATAAGGCATAAGGGCATCAAACAGCTGTATTTTTTTTTCTGGTTTTATGTGGCTGGAGAAAATGATGTATATATTGAAAGAAGAGAAGGAAGAACAAGAACTTGAATGGTCTTATGAGCCAAGCAAGGAATTTGGACTTCATCCTGACACAGTGGGACCAAAACAGTATAGGGTGTGTTAGTTAGTTAGTTAGTTATCTACTTTACGTACTTACTTCCTAGGTTTAGCTTAATTCAGGCCCATACAAATTCCCCCATTCCCTGTCTTTAGTGGTCAAAGAGAGTGTTAATTATCTGAAGAAATATATAATTATTTAAAGTCAGTTTCTCAGCTTTAAGGACCTCTTTGAATTTTCTAAAATCATCCACCAAGCTGTATGCAAATGTGCATCCATCTGGGTAGATTATCTAAAGTTTTCATTGGATTTCTAAAGTGGTCCAAAGCTCTAAAAAGTATGAGAATCACTATTCTATTTACTTTATAAAAACTTTCAGCTTCTCCCAAAATAGACTTTATCAAAGTAGAATTCTTATATATTAATCTCTCAAAATGTACTGGTCACTAGTCATCCGTATGGGTACAGTTTTGTATAGCATTATATTATTTTAAACAAGATAATTCTTCACATTCCCCAGTAGCAGCTGAATCCATGTTTGTTAACTTGGCCTCTTATTTAAATTACTATTCTTTAGAGCAAGGGGATCTCCACAGCTTATATGTGAGAGGTTTGAGACAAGGTACAAAATTGGAGAAATTCAGGTATTTGAAATTTGGGAGAAGCACAGATGGTATACAAATTGGAAAGCCTAATTCTATGAAAAATTAGTTAAGAATATTTGAATTACAATTAATATAACCAAGTCTACCAACTTAATTTATTAGAGGGATAAGGAAGGAGCATAATATATATATTTATATGTATTATATTTTATTTATTTATTTATTTATATGTATGTATACATATATCTCCCCAAGGATAGAAACATAACAATAAAATCAAAGACTTGAACCTTGAACATCATCATGACTTCTTATATCTTCTCTCTTCTCTGCTGTCAGTTTCATATCCTCTCTGTCTCTCTCTTCTTACCTCTCATCCAGAATGATCTCTGTTTTCCTATCTCTGGCTTTAACTCTCACAAATGGTTCCAAAATCACTGGAAAATGTGTTTACTGAACATTTTGCATTAGATGCCCAGTCCTGCACTATGTGCTTAGACACATGACTGTTCTCTCTATAGCCATATGGATTGAAAGGAGGGGCAATTCCTGGAAAACTGGGGTTGGGCAGATCAAACAATAGATGCTCACTCTCTCTACATGACAGGTGACAGAATGTCTTACATGGCTCTACTGACACTCATGTGTCTATTTATTCTAAAAAGATCTCTATTTTGTACTGGACATGGGGTTAGGATACAAAGATGAGCTAGGTATATACCTCGATCTTGTTTTGTGTCTACCATTCACTATATGATCTTAGTAAGTCACTTCCCCACTCTGGACTTCAGCTTCCTTTGTTAAATGAATAAGACAGACAGAACTAGTGCCTTATGCTTCATTATAGTGAGCCCACAAGCCAACGTTAACACCATTATTGTTTCAATCACTTTTTGTCAAGAATCTCATACTCACGATCCAGAGGTTTTCCCACCAAGAAATTATATGCATTGCCTATTGATCCCACTAGTATAAAACAGAGTAGAACATCATGAAAGTCTCAGTCAGTTACAAAAACCTCTGTTTGTGTAAATCAGAAATGCAAACTGAATAAAAGTCACAATTTTATCCTTCTCTTAAAGAAAAAAGAGAGTATTCAACATAGTAGTTCTTTACAAAGCCAGACCTACAATAAATCTTGCTAGTTGTGTAGCCTCATGTTGGCCAAGATACTGGGGGAGCTCTGGGTTATGAATATGTTGCCAGTGAAATGTTTGTGTTGTTTTGGTAGAAAACTCCAGAAAAGGATTTGCAGCCAGAAAACCCTCCTGCTGAGACTTCAGCCCCCAAATATCTCCTGAGCACTTTGAAGATCAGGCCAGTCTCACAGCCTTTTGTCAGTCCAGTGATGAAAAACACGTCTGAAGAATGTGAGACATGGATCGACAGGCTCAAGAAGCTAGAAAATGCCCTCTACCTGTGTGATCTGAGTAATACAGGTGAAGTGCGCGGCTTACAGCTCATATGTCTTTTTTTTTTTTTTCATTTTGTACAGGGCTCCACAAATTTTTTTTAATTAGTTTTTATTGGAGTATAGTTGCTTTACAATGTTGTATTAGTTTCTGCTGTACAGCAAAGTGAATCAGCTGTACAGCAAAGTGAATCAGCCATATATATATATATATATATATATATGTATATATATGTGTATATATATATGTGTATATATATGTGTGTGTGTATATATATGTATATATATATATTCTTTTTTAGATTCCCTTCCCATTTAGGTCACCACAGAACACCAAGTAGACTTCCCTGTGCTATACAGTAGGTTCTCATTAGTTATCTATTTTATATATAGTACTGTATACATGTCAATCCCAATCTCTCAATTCATCCCACCTCCTCTTCCCCCCTTGGTAACCATAAGTTTGTTTTCTACATCTGTTACTCTATTTCTGCCTTGCAAATAAGTTCATCTGTGCCATTTTTCTAGATTCCATATATAAGCAATATTATATATTTGTCTTTCTTTCTGACTTACTTCACTCTGTATGACAATCTCTAGGTCCATCCATGTCACTGCAAATGGCATTATTTCGTCCCTTTTTATGGTTGAGTAATATTCCATTGTATATATGTACCACATCTTCTTTGTCCATTCAGAACGACCCTCAGAATGGGAGAAAATATTTGCAAACAAAGCAATCGACTAGGGATTAATCTCCAAAATATACAAACAGCTCATGCAGCTCAGTATCAAAAAAACCAAACAACTCAATCGAAAAATGGGCAGAAGATCTAAATAGACATTTCTCCAAAGAAGACATACAGATGGCCAAAAAACACATGAAAAGATGTTCAACATCACTATTAGAGAAATGCAAATCAAAACTACAATGAGGTTCCACCTCACAGCAGTCAGAATGGCCATCAGCAAAAAATCTACAAACAGTAAATGCTGGAGAGGGTGTGGAGAAAAGGGAACCCTCTTACACTGTTGGTGGGAATGTAAATTGGTACAGCCGCTATGGAAAACAGTATGGAGGTTCCTTAAAAAATTAAAAATAGAGCTACCATATGATCCTGCAATCCCAATCCTGGACATATATCCAAAGAAAACCATAGTTTGAAAGGATGCATACACTCCAATGTTCATTGCAGCACTATTTACAATAGCCAGGACATGGAAGCAGTCACACACCTTTCCATTTGTGTTGCAGTCTAAGAGTGGACACATCCCTTTCTTTCACTTCTTAACAAATACAATTTGTACATAAACCATGTGCCTGGCACTATGCTGAGCACAATCAGGAAACACGAAGATGAATCAGACATGAATCCCCCACCAGGTTGCTTACAGTTTCTCTGAGTCTAACCTACAATCCAACCTTGTAATTCCCCTGATTGAAATCATCAGCATGCCTGCTAACAGGCTGAACTCTAAACTGTTTAGCAAGGCAAAAGCTGGTCTCTATCTGCCTGACCAGTATCTTCTCCTTCTATTGTAATTCTCTCAGCATATCCTACCCCATCATAATGAATAACTTGCCTTCCTCAACTGTGCCTTGCTTTCTCCTGTGGCTGTGCCTTTTCTTTTTCAAAAAAAAATTTATTTATTTATTTTTGGCTGCATTGGGTCTTCGTTGCTGCCATGGGCTTTCTCTAGTTGTGGCAAGCAGGGGATACCCTTCGTTGCGGTGCACAGGCTTCTCATTACTGTGGCTTCTCTTGTTGTGGAGCATGGGCTCCAGGTGCGTGGGCTTCGGTAGTTGTGGCACACAGGCTCAGTAGTTGTAATGCACAGGCTTAGCTGCTCCACGGCATGTGAGATCTTCCCAGACCAGGGCTCGAACCCGTGTCCCCTGCATTGGCAGGTGGATTCTTAACCACTGCGCCACCAGAGAAGCCCATGGCTGTGCCTTTTCTAACCCTACGCCCTCTACCTGATCTGTCTGCCTCTCCTCTGTCCCCGCCAACTCCCCACACTGTCCACCTGGCTAATTAATACCTAAACACCTTTTATGTCAGAACTCAAGCTCTACTCCTCTGAGACTCCCATGATTTCCCCAGACAGATTAAGGCCAACCTTTATCTGGCCTCTTACAGTTCTTTAACACCCATTATCATATTTGATATATTGTACTTTTCTATTTGGGACTTAGTACTACCTAAGTACTAAGATACTTTTTTATCCTGAGTACCTTGCACAATTCTGTTCAACCCTTTTTTAAGAAACAAATAAATGAATGTACATAAATAACTAAACCCAAAATAGAAGGTGATAAATGCCATTAGAGGGTGCTATGTGGGCATTCAGACAAAGGAGAATTCATTCCTAGTGAGGTGATAAGGTTATGTTAGTGTGAAATTGATCATTAAGGGAAAGTGCAGTTTGTATACAAAGGACTGAAATAGAGGGCCCTTCCTGGCAAACATGCAAGTTAGCCAAGCAAAGCATTATGTATGAAGCTCAATACAAGGAATTTGGTTTGAATAGAATACAAGGGCTATTAAGAAGAATATTAAATGAAGAATGTGAAAATATAGGATAGGATCAGATCTAGGAAGGTCTTAGATGACCGACCAAACAACTTGGATTTAATTCACAGATAGTGAGCACATTGTGTTTCTAAGCAGGAGAGTGGTATGATGAAGTTGTATTTCAGAAAGGTCCTTTATGGCTATGTGAAGAATGAAGGAGAAATTTAAATTATAAAAAGGATAAAGGATGTTATTGCAATGCTTAAGTGAGATAATGAAATTCAGAACTAGGTCAGAGACCTGTGAAATGGAAAAGAGGCAGCACATACAAAAACATATGCACTGAAATTGTTGTACTTAACTGCATACTGTTGTTCATGAAGACTTAGCATTATATGTGGAGTCTAAAAATATGGAACACATAGAAATGGTTGTTGCCAGGAAATATGTGGAAATGTTGGTCAAAGGGTAGAAACTTTCAGTTATAAGAAATTCCAAGGATTTAACGTACAACATGGTGACTCTCATTAACAATATTGTGTTGTGTACTTGAAAGTTATTATGAGTAGAACTTTAATGTACTCACCATAACAACGACAACAAAATGGTAATTATGGGAGGTAAAGGATTTGTTAACTAACCTTATTACAGTAAACATTTCATAATATATATGTGTATCAAATCATCACATTGTATATCTTAAACTTACACAATGTGATATATCAATTACATCTCAATAAAAAAAGTGTACACATTAGTACTTTCTAGAAGTAATCATATAACAGCACTAATGCCTTTTCATTCTCTGTATGTTTTTGTTTCATTTTGCTTTGAATTTCCAATGCAAGTTAATTCTAGACCACATGAAGTATGAACACCATATAATACCCAAGGACTTCTAATAACTATACCAAAGAGAGGGGGAAATGAAAATTTTAGGTAAAATTTCATCTAGATGAATTAGAAACTCATTTATTAAACATTTGTTATGAGCCCAGCCCTGTGCTAGAGGCTGGACCAGGAGGGAAACCAGAAAGGATGAGACATGGTCTCTGGCCTCAAGGAACTTTTAGGTAAGACACAGAGGCTGCCAATAGTTCAAAGCCAGTAAAAGAAAAATTTTAAAGACAGAATAAAGTATTATAATTAAAGACACAAACCAGACTTAAAGAGTCCAAAGAAAAGACAGAAGAGATGAAAAAAGCTCAGTGAGTACTCAGAGAGGGCTTCTTGGAAGAGAGAACTTGAGCTGAGCCCAGAGGAGAGGTAGACTTTGAATAGCTGGGTAGGGCATTCTGAGTGTGAAACCATATTCTGCAAAGGTTAGAAGGTGAGAATGAGTATGATGGGGAAGAGAGTGAGAAAGACAGGACTGACTGTCACGTTGGATTGAATAGTGAAGTTGAGACCCTATTGTGAATCCTGAAGGCTGGAATGAGGCTTAATTCTCTACGCAGTGTCCACCAAAGGTTCAACCAGAGGAGAACACAGGGAAAGCTGAAATGGGTCATTTAGGGAAGATACTGGGAAAAAAGGAGATCAAAAGTTTACTGAAATAACCTTTATTTCATGAGTCTGTGTTTACATATCAAGACTGTGAGAGTGTTGATGGGGTTACAAACAAAAACAAAACAAAACCAAAAATCAGGTAGAGAGAAAAGACGTTTCCAAAGAAACAAATGCTGAGTTTTGATGATGGATGATGGATCATAAATTTAGTTGCTAAGAGACTCCCAAAGACTGGGACCTTTCTCATACTTCGGAACTGCTCTGGGGAAAAATGGAGTTTTGTTGACTTTGGGGCAGATTCTGGCAGATTTGAAATGACTTTCTCATGGCCTTTTCACTATTTATGCCTGTTTTCTCTGTTTCTATGAAATTCATTAGTTCCTCAATAGCCAAGGAATGTGTCAGCCAAATCTGGAAACATCTATAACTATCTTTAATGAGGAAAGAGGATTAACTGAGGTCATCTTTTTGGTTTATTAGCCACAGTATTTAGCAGACCACCATGGCCCTCCTCTAGACACTGAGCAGATCATCCCTACTCTGCCCAATGATGAATCAGTGTTCTTTATTATGTGCAAGGAAATATGTAGGCCAGGGCGTTCCTCATCCAGGGTGAAGGCAGAACATCCATCATCAAATTAGCATTTCTGGGAACCTACTCTGAGCTTATTCTTTAATGGGGGTTGTCAAGAAAATATCCTTGAGGAGAAAGAAATAAGGAATGACTATGAATAACTGGTCAGGCTTTCTAAAGAAAGATGGGTGGTTGGGATAAATATTTGAGTGACTGGTAGATTGGGAATTTTCCCAGTGAACTGAAGGCTAGATAGAAAATATTTTAGAGTTCAAGGAGGCATAGTGCAATGAGAGCCCTCAAGGACACGGGTCTGGACTTAACATACGCTGCATCACTAACTCCTCACATCAACCACATGCTGAAGGGATTAATGTCCTTATTTACAGAGGAGAAAGCCACACTCAAAGTGATAAAATATCAGCAGGTGGGAAGTTGAGGCATAATTCTAACCCAGTTCTATTGGACTTCCCGCTACACCAATCTCCCATGACACACCAGAAAGATCATGAGATTCTGTTTGTTGCTTTGTTGGTTTGTTTCTTTGTGTGTTTTTAACCAGATTCAAGTCCAGACTTCACCAATTGCTGAGTCACTTATATTCGCCAAGCCTGTTTCCTTGTCTATAAAATAGGACTGATAATAATAAAACATACCTCCCAGATTTGAAAAAGGATCCAATGAGATTTAAAAGTTCTTTGTAAACTGAACATGAAGTGGATAGTAAAGAGGTTCTTATTTCATTCTGGTTCTGGTGGGACAAGGACAAGCTTCCCAACACTAAGATGGATTGTAAGGTTATTTTATGCAGCTGTCTTGGGCATCCCCTAATGACAGCAAATTAGACAGAGATAAATTTCAGTCAATGGGCTTTTGTCTGATGCGCGAATCCTCTACCAACGGTAAAACTTAGAAGATAGAAGAAAAGGCCCCCACACACACCAGTGGTAATTCTTATATGCATTTTTTAATATTAATTCTAATTTTTAATTAAAATATAAACTAAATTATATATATAAATAATTTCTTCTAATTAAAATATTTTCTTGTGTATTTTAAGTAATATTGATGATATAACCATTATAACTATCCTATAAAAATACCTACATTAATGAGTGCTTAATAGTTCTGGGTATTGTACTAAGCACTTACTATTTTATTAATTTTCAAACAATTTGATTATCCCTATTTTAGAGTCAAGGAAACTGAGGCTCGAAAATTAAAGTAACTTCCTCAGTCAGACACTTACTCCAAAGTCCATGACTTATATTTCCAGAGGTGGAATATGAGGAAATGTCTTGAGGGAGCCAACCTAGACCAGGTCAAGAGCCTCCACCCAATCCAGAAAATTGTAAAGATGCAATTGGCCAACTCAAAGGAAGATATTTCTGCAGAGGAAAGGACCAACATTCTAATAGGAGAAAGAGACAGTAAATAAACCTGAATAGAACAGACAATTAAAAAACAGTGGATTGGATAGGACAGGATGGGGTGAGATGGGATAGGATGGTATGGAATGAGATGGGATGGGATGGGATGGGATGGGATGGGATGGGATGGGATGGGATGGGTTGGGATGGGAAGGGACAGGACAGGACTGAACTGAATAGAACTGAATGGAATAAATCACATTAGGACCCCAGCTGTCTGTAGTCCACTGTTAAAAACACTCATTAGAGAGCAGTTCAGAGAGGAGCATCATGCTCAACTGTCCTTGCACGTTTAAATCCAAACAGAGCTCAAAGAGAGATGACAGGTATACGCTATAGCCCAAATCTAATAGACTGGTCGTGGCTTTCTGCAAAATGACCAGGGGACCACTCCTTCTGGATTCTTTGAGAAAGAATTTCACAATCATTATTATAGTCTGCACAAGTACAGGAGACTAGAAGAGCCACATGCAAGGGATGTATCTCACCCTTATAAAAGATATTTAAAATCTTCACAATTCATGGAAAATATTTAGAAAACAATCTGAGCCCTGCTTGAAACAATCTCTTTCCCCCCATTCTATAATACGGTATGGTGGTTAAATGCATGGACTAGAACAACCTTGGGCATCTGTCCATCTCTATGCCTCAGTTTCTCTCTCTGTAAAATGGGTTGTTGTGTTAAGTGAGTTAATATTGGTAAATTGTTTGGAGGGGTGCCTGAAACATGGTAAATGTTATATATGAGTATCAGTCGTTATTGTTATTGTTGTTGCACTCTAGTTAATTTTCTGCATCTCTTATCATCTCAACTGGTTGGTGATCTTCCTAAGGTAACAGACCACTTCTCAAAATCCTCTCTATTCCCAAGCACAGTATCTGACATATATAAGCTCACAATTAAGAGCTTATGAATGAGTCACTGACCTTTGCTGTTGTCGTGTTCTACCCTTAAACTCCTCTCTGCAGTTATCAAAATCTACTTACCCTTAGCATGGACAACACATTGGTATTGGTACATATAACATGTGGGTACCAGAATATGTCCTGTGATAAGCACCACCATCTCTATTATACAGATCTAGACTCTAAGCCACAAGAAGTTAGGTGATTTACCTGTGATCACACAGCAAGCTGGAGGGAGTCACAGTAAATATATTTCCAGAAATGCATAAAAATGAGCTGTTTAAATCCTGCATGTCTAGGAACATGTTTGGATATTTCAGTAAGATAAACATAAACTAGAGCAATTAGGAATTGCTTTTAGCCGGCACCCCACCATTTTCAAAACTTGGTCTTTTAAAGTTTTATGGCTACGAAGAACAAGCTAAAATCGCTTTAGAGTCTATCTATGGATTATATTGGACCCCATCTCCTCCCCAAAATCACCCTCAGATTCCTCTCAACATCTATTATGCATAGCCAGGATTGTAAATATCTTTTAAGGGTGTCACTTGGTTTTTAAGAAGCTTAAAATTTCAAAATATTAGCATTTAATTCTTGCTCAGAAGTCATTCAAGCTAATGAATTTTCCTCTTTCTTGTTTTTTCTTTTAAAAATACTCTAAAAAAAATACTCTTTTAAAAATCTCCCACCCACCCAACCCAATGGCAGGAGTTCTGGAGAATGAACGAGCCAGATGCCTCATTCACAACTGCAATCTCATTTACAACCTGTCCCTGAGCCCTCGAAAAATTGACCAAGCCTTGCGGAGATTCCATGCTGGAGAAAATATGCTCTTGGAGCCAGCGCTTCAGTACTTAAAGGAGATATAATAACAAGCCCATATTGTGAGAACAGATGTTCCCTTTGTCTCCCTTTTTACCCGGACACATGTTTCTCCTCAGCCTGAGTGCAGTGGTGGAGGCGCTGTCAGAGTTGAGGTTGATGCAGCTATTGTCAACACTTTGAGCTTGGACTTGGTTTCTGGCTATGATGCTCACTCATAAGCAGCTCAAAGTGATACAAGGAAACCAGGTTTTCTCTTCTGAGGTGGCAAAAACCCAATTTCTTAAAATCCCCTTCTATTCTTATAAAGCTGGTGATGAATATTCAATGATTTTTTTTTCAGTATTGCTGATCAAACTGTTTTTTTGCAAACCCTGCAATTCCATATAGTAAAAAACATGCTAGATGTTGTCAACTCCCAAAAATGCCTGTGAAATAATAGACCTAAATATATCTTTTTTGGATGAGTAAGTCAGCCTTTCCTCTAGTCACTATTCTAGGATTTCCACATTGTAAGAAAAATAAAAGTATTAACAATATATTATCTTAATACCAAGCAGCAGAAGCAAAATTTCAAGTGAAGTTTTCTGAACAAGTTCAATATTTTCTCTAGTACAAAACTAGATGATGTTACACTGTCTCCAAGGATATTTTCCCAGAGTATTGAATACAACTTTTGAGGAGGGACTCCTGGAACAAAGGATTGTGGAAATAGGTAACATCTTCTTTGCTTCTTCTGGCAGGAAAACCAAGTAAAACTTTCCACCAGTTCCCACAGTTCTTCTAGTCTTAACATCCACCCCCCTGCAATTTGCACCACCCTGGCCACAACATACATACTTACATTCACATCACACCACTCAGGCAGTATGAGCTCATTGAAGGAAGCCCAGGACTTCAGAGACAGAAGTATTCCCAGTACCATCATTAATGCTGAATGACCTGGATCCTGATTTTCCAATCTCTGTGCGTGGAAGACAGGATGAAGGAGTTCATTGCAACTCTATTTACAATAGCCAGGAGATGGAAACAACCTAAGTGTCCATCGACAGATGAATGGATAAAGAAGATGTGGCACATATATAGAATGGAATATTACTCAGCCATAAAAAGAAATGAAATTGAGTTATTTGTACTGAGGTAGATGGACCTAGAGACTGTCATACAGAGTGAAGTAAGTCATAAAGAAAAAAACATATACTGTATGCTAACACACATATATGGAATCTAAAAAAAAAGGGTTCTGAAGAACTTAGGAGCAGGATAGGAATAAAGACACAGACATAGAGAATGGACTTGAGGACATGAGGAGGGGGAAGGGCAAGCTAGGACAAAGTGAGAGAGTGGCATGGACATATATACACTACCAAATGTAAAACAGATAGCTAGTGGGAAGCAGCCTCATAGCACAGGGAGATCAGCTCGGTGCTTTGTGTCCACCTAGAGGGGTGGGATAGAGAGGGTGGGAGGGAGACGCAAGAGGGAGGAGATATGGGAACATATGTATATGTATAACTGATTCACTTTGTTATAAAGCAGAAACTAACACACCATTGTAAAGCAATTATACTCCAATAGAGATGTTAAAAAAATAAAATAAAATAGATTAATTAATTAATTTAAAAAACCAGCCAAAATCCAGTTCAGGCACTTAGTAGGTGGCAGCCTTGGCGAATGTTAAATCTCCCTGAGCTTCAGTTCCTTCACCTGTAAAACGGGAGTAATTGTACTTTTCAGGGGAGTTTTATAAACACTGAAAGCCATGTCATGCAGACACATAGTAGAGATGGGGGCCTTTCTTATGTCCCTTCTCTTAGCTGCTGAGCCTCAGGAAGCTTGAACAATGGTCTGTGTGAAATGGCAGAGAGCAATAACGCTACTGCTACAGCACAAACAAATTTTGAGATACATCTGCTTTCTAGAACCAAGGACCAGAACCCAGTGCACAACTTCCAGTCCAGCGGTGCCCTGCAGGTCACAGTTAGAGCAAATAACCCACAGAATTCCCGTTAGTGTGTGTGGTCTGACTCCCCAGCAAGTCTAGTGGACACGCCAAGCCAGGACCAAGGTCTTCCTGGTCTTAGATCATCTCCGGTCTGGAATTCTCCACTGCTTTACCCCAGGATGTGTGTGGTATGTAGGTGTGAGGGTGTGTATTTGTAAGACTTGCCCTTGTAAAAGTAAATACTCATTAGATTTTCTCTGAGTAAAGCATTAAATAAAAAACAAAAAATCAACTTAAGCCATAGAGAACAGCTTAGATATCTCGGTGACAAAGTGACAGCAGAGGTTAAATGAGGCCGGGCTGTGAAGCAAACCACTGGACACAAACAGCAAAATGCTATGAGGTCATTATGCTTCAGAATATTTTTTAGTGACCACTATGCTAAAGCTTTTGCATGGTTTGCTTATGGACAATGTTACCCTTCTCTCTCTTTTTTTTTTTTTCTCAGATCAGAGTTGTTTCGTATAATCCCTGTGACTGTGTCATTGTGAACTTCTAATAAACACTGGGTAGAGGGAGTCTGGTGTCTGTGATCTTGACCAGCTTTCTCTAGCAGAATCTTTCTAAATGGGTGTCTGTGTGCAGTGGCCCGGTTAACCTCCAGGATTCCCTGGAGGGACTTGGTGTCGACTGCATCTGCCCCAGCTCTCCAAAAACCTCAGCCTCTAAAGATGGAAAGAGCACTGAAGACATAGCAGAGACTGGATCTCACCACCTGGGCAGACTCTTTCCCAGATGTGTGACCCTGAGCAATCCACTACCTCCCCATAGAGTCATTCACATTGAAGGGGATAATGTATACAAATTGCCTGACGCTGGCACAGAGATGTGCTCCACAAGGGGGAACTGGCTTTCTATTTTATTCTTATACAGTGTTTCCTTTTACACCATTCAATGGGCCAAATCATTATGCACCCTTTCCAGATACAGACACCTTATAAGCCAATGGTTGGCTCACTGGTCGTGTGGTCCTAGAGTGCAGAGACCATGTCCTCCACATTTCTATTCTTCATTCTCTCTCCTGTCCTTACTCCTCACCATAACCCAACCAGGTGGGCATTCCTATGCCCATTGTACAGATGAGACACTGAGGCTCGGATGGTAAATGGACTTGCCAAAGGAGTAACAGCTAGTGAGTGACAAAGTCAGGACCAGAACCCAGTGCACAACTTCCAGTCCAGCGGTGCCCTGCAGGTCACAGTTAGAGCAAATAACCCACAGAATTCCCGTTAGTGTGTGTGGTCTGACTCCCCAGCAAGTCTAGTGGACACACCAAGCCAGGACCAAGGCCTTCCTGGTCTTTGTCCCCAGCACAGAGCCCAGATTCACCATCCAATGGGAACCTGGAACACGTTTGTGGAATGGCACCTCCACATGAACATTTGGAAAAGCCAGCAACGTTTTGCCCTCTTCCAGTACCCCCAGCTCATCACCACCTTCTGGAGACAGGAATAAAGGGTGTTTTCAGGACTCTGGATGTGATCGGTTCACACAAGCGGAAGCACAACTATACAGATCGTGCCATCCAAACAGTTTGCTAAGTGCCCACTAACTCTTCAGAGGAATTTCCCGAGATCATTAAGAGAAACAATAACGGGATTTTATATTCTAATTGGGATCAGAAACTGGACAGCTTTGGAGCTGGCTGGAGAACTGTGTGGCTCTGAAAATAAACACTCGCCTTTCTGCTCCCCCCTCCTCACCCCCCACCCCTTGTGAGAGCCTTTCAGCTCTGCTTCCAAGTCTCCTTAGCAACAAAGGTAGGGGTTCCCAGAGCTGGTGCCTCTGGAATGCCAGCCATTCCCCTCATTAGCTTTCAGGGCCGCTCATCTGCCTGCACATTTGGCCATGGGGCTGTGCAAAAGGCAAAGTGCCTTGGGGAAGGCCCAGCATTTAGCGTGATTGGTTGGGACATGGGAAGCCTCCACAAAGAGTTTCCAAACAAAAGGCATCAATATTACTTGTGGAGCCATCAGTCTGCCTGGGGCACAATATGGCTCTGGCTCAGCCACATGCTCCCTCCCCAGGTCCTGTGTGAAGGCGTGGTGGGCTCTTGGCCCTGAACACCAGTGTGTTGGATGGTCTCCCTCCTCCTCCCTCTCTGTGCTGCCAGGTCTCTCCTCAGACTCAGTTTATCCAGGTTGGACAATGGGTGGACTCTAACTGGTGGTGGGAGTGCCCACGGGAGGGGGGTTGACAGAGGGTAAACAGTCAGATGGTAGGACAATCACAAGCAGATGGTGCTGCTGGGAATGGATTCCAGACAAATTCACGGGCAGATTGAGCTCTGACAAAGACTTATCTGGTGGAGAGCAATTGGCACCTTATATTAAGCCCTTGCTCAAAACACACATCCTGCTGTCCCACACAATCTCTGACAGTTCCGTGAGGTTCTATATCACCAGAATTCCAAAATATTGATCAATAGGCCAATCCCTGGGAGATTCCAACCAGCAAAGCACTTTCTCAGCATTCTCATAGAACCAGTCCTTAGCAGAGTTTCCTTCAGCCTCCCTGTGTTTGAACACCTTCAGAAATGTGGCTCTTACTACTTGTCATCTTCTCCTCTCCACACAGCTCCGATTTGTTCTTCTAAAATTTGTTATCCTTTTAATCCCTTTTCTACCCTCCCTTGGAGCCAAAGGAGGAGGAGGGGGAAGAGGAAGGGGCTGAGGAGGAAAAGGGGGGAGGGGGGAGGGAAAAGGAGGAGGGGGGAGGGAAGGGGAAGAAGAAAGAAAGCTTTGTTTCTTTCCTCCAGAATGGACTCAAGTTGGGGAGGGTCTCAAGACTGGGAGGAAATTGGGAGAACAGATGTGTAAGCAAGTATATCAGCTTGCTAGAACTGCTGTGTCCAAGCACTACCAACTGGGTAGCTTAAACAACAGAAATGTGCTGCCTCACAGTTCTGGAGGCTAGGAGTCCAAAATCAAGGTGTCTGCAGGGTTGGTTCTTTGGACTGTGATGGAGAATCTGTTTTGTGCTTCTTTCCTAGCTTCATGTGGTTTGCTGGCAATCTTTGGGGTCCCTCAGCTTATAGATGTA